CAAATTAATCACATCACAATATCCATTAGGTACTTATAACACGTTATACATCAATAACAAATCCTGATACTATCATAGATATATTATAATATAGTGTACTTTAGAAGTTTCAAGTACCCACGAATAGTATTATACACTCACAACAAAATAACTAAAATAGGTATGCTAGGTTTTTTAATATGTAATTTCGTCCCAAATTTGAACTTAAAATGTCTGTAAAAAATAACTGTACTCATATATTTTTTAGATTTTTTGGTTATAGTATGAACTATTTATGAGAACCTTTGTGTTGAATTTGTAATCCTTAGCTATAAAAACTGAACATTTTATAATTTATTAATTACGATGATTGATAATTTTCGATATTTTGATAAATTTTGTCAAAATGCGATCTTTAAATGCTTATAAAAAAAAATTGTGCCTATGTATTTTTAATATTTTTCAATTGCTATTGTAACAATATATCAGGAAGATTGTATTTAATTTTTACACTTTTTGGCCCAACAGATAAAACTTAATTGATGTTTATAGAAAAAAAAAACTTAAAAAATTGAAAACTAAAAATGTCCGTAAACGGCTCAAAAAGAGTCAAAATATTTTCAAAATTGTATGGTGTATAGGAAATGCTAATATAAACATTCAGTGAAATTTTCATGTATCTACGGTTATTCGTTTTTGAATTACAACAAAATAAGGAAATCGCTACATGAGAAATCGAGTGAATATCCAATGTTGTAAAAATTTGAATTTCAAACGCTCATAAAAATTTAATTTGACTGTCCGGTAGAGATTTTTTTATTTATAAAGGTAGAAAAACTTATGAGTAATCTTGTATTACATTTTCAAATCTTAGATTTAAAAAGAAAAATTTTTACGAATTCTTAACTCAAAATAATTTGCTAATTTTCGTGATTTTTCCATATTTTGTCAATTTTTGAACTTTAAATGCTTATAAAAAAAACTGTGACTAACGATTTTTAATATTTTTCATCTGCCTTTGAAACAATATACTAGGAGCCTTCTATTAAATTTTAAAGTTTTTTTAACCAACAAATAAAATTTTATTGATTTTTCTAGAAAAAAAACTAAAAAAAAATGAAAAATGAAAATGTCCCTAAACAGTTCAAAATAGATCAAAATATTTTGAAAATGTTATCGTGTATAGAAAATGAAAATATAAACAACCAGTGAAAATTTCATGTATCTACGGTCATTTGTTTTAAAGTTACACCAAAAACCAAATTCAATTTTCTGAAAAATCAATTTTGCGTAAAAATTCCCGTTTTTCCTTAATTTTTCTTCTGTTTTTCTTGGCGCTTTTGAAAAGTACTGGGAATTTTAAATTTTGACCTTCCCAATGCACCAACGATATTCACTTTCCAATCGAACGAGATACTGAAGTCGAAAATCGAAGCATTATTTCGACTACTTATCGTGTACAAAGACACAAAAAAAGTAAAAAAAATTAAAAAAAAAACACACATCATTGTAAAATCAATACATTCATCGTTTCACTCAGAATCTAAAAATTAAACTCCATTTATGCTAACATTTTCAAAAACATTTTTTTTTCCTCATTTTACGTACAATGGGCTCTTTTGCTCCATCTTTGGGTTGCTCTAATATATAATATAATAAAAAAATTTGATATTTTTTAATATTATAAAATAATTACTCACCAATACTTTCTAATTGTTCATGAATATTATTATTTGTCTCCTTTGGTGAATCTAATATGTATAAATATATTGTTAAATAAATATTTAAATTTTAATTTAAAAATTTTATTTAAAATATAATATAATAAAAGAATTTGATATTTTATAATATTATAAAATAATTACTCACCAATACGTTGTAATTGTTCATAATTATAGTTAATTGGTTCATTCGGTGGATCTAATATATATGAATATATTGTTAAATAAATATTTAAATTTTTAATATAATAAAGTAACTATTTATTCATAATTATTAAAATAAAAATAATGTAATTACCAATAAAATCAGAAAATTTTAAATCATCAAAAATATCTCTATACACATAGTATTTAATGATCTGTTGTTTCGCTGATTGTACCTTTATTAATGTCATTTTTCGCAACATTATTTTTTTTTTTAAATTAATTTAAATAAATTAAAAAAATAATAAAAATTCAATTTAAAAAAATTAAAATAATATATCTGACTTCAAAAACTCAAGCAGTGGACGACAGAGCAGATAGACATGGACAGTGGATCAGTGAAACCTTTGATGATATATATTTCGTATCTTATCGACAATTATTTATCATAATATGTGTTCTCTAACAAAAGCTTTGATTATTATATTATATTATTATATTTTCTGTATCGGACGTCAGGATTCCTAAGAATAGAAATATACAACCAACGTTTGCACATCCGTCAACGCTATATGCAAGGACCCCCTTTCCACCTTTTTTCTGAAACGACCGTGGTTATGATTATGAAGACGATGGTGGTGTTGTTAGCGTGGGGGGGGGGGGGTGGAAGGGGGTCCTTGCATATAGCGTTGACGGATGTGCAAACGTTGGTTGTATATTTCTATTCTTAGTAATCCTGCCGGTCGATACAAAAAAAAAACCCAGTAGATATAATATGGTTAATGCGAATGAAAGATCCAAATTTGGTAGTACAATATAACAGGATTACATTACACTCAGGATTACATATAGAACATGATTACATTCATTAAAAATAGATTCGTTTATTCAAAATGTACATAATTTTTATTTAAAATTTATTAAAACTTATTTTTCTGTATCACTCTCATATACGTCATAGTACACAACCGGCGTTTGTTCCTCGTAATAAAACGCCGGACGTCTTCTATTGCGGACCGGCCTTCCTCGGTCGGTTGAGCATGGATCTTGGCTTGAGCATGCAGGTTCTTCAAGTAATGGATCATTTTGACTTCTTACTTCTTCTCCTTGTGTTAAAGTTGGAGTGCAAGTTGTTTCCTTGAAACATATAATATAACATAATTAATTAGATATATCATATATATATTCGTTATTGTATTTTATCAGGTTTGAATAAAAATACATATATTTACTGTGTTATGTAAGGCACTATTGGTACATATCGCGAAATCACAACTTTTGTCACCATGTTTTCTGCGTACTGGAGTTTGTTCCTCGTAATAAAACGCCGGACGTCTTCTATTGCGGACCGGCCTTCCTCGGTCGGTTGAGCATGGATCTTGGCTTGAGCATGCTGGTTCTTCAAGCAATGGATCATTTTGACTTCTTACTTCTTCTCCTTGTGTTAAAGTTGGAGTGCAAGTTGTTTCCTTGAAACATATAATATAACATAATTAATTAGATATAGGTATATATTCGTTATTGTATTTTATCAGGTTTGAAGAAAAATACATATATTTACTGTGTTATGTAAGTCATTATTGGTACATATCGCGAGATCACAACTTTTGTCACCGTGGTTTCTGCGTACTGGAGTTTGTTCCTCGTAATAAAACGCCGAACCTATGTATATATGTTTTTGGATTTTTGTAACAATAATTTGTAGAAAAAAAGGACGTGAGTGATTGGATTCACGTTTCTTATTAGTTACCTATCAGTTTTATCACAGTTACACTTTGTGTGTAAGCTCCAACCGTGTAGACTGTAGAGAGTGTAGAGTGTAGTAAGTTCACTCTTCGTCGTTCGATGTGACAATGTCTTGTATTAGACAATAGACATTTTTTTTTAGAGATTCTCAAATCATACTGCGATTTTAGTTATTATCTTATTACAATATATACATTATACGTAATACTATAGTTATATTCTATGGACGGTCATAGCGATGAAGATACCAACAAAACTCCTACTAAAAAAACAAAAACATTTCAAGATGAATGGTTGGAATTTGCTGAATTTAAGGGATGACAGTACGGGGCTCAAAATGATAACACTAAGGCCCGATGTAAAACATGTTAGGTAAAGTCTAGTGTTGTTAATTATTTTGTAGAATTGACTTTTTCATGAGGTAGGTATGTTCTTATATTACTAGGTTTATTTAAATTGTGGGAAGAGTGACTTACAAAAACATGCACTGGGCAAAAAGCATAAAGCGAACATACAGACAATTAAATCATCTACAAATATTGAATGTGCTTTTAAAAATGTAAAACCCGATCAAAAGTGTTGATGTAAAAAAAGCGGAAATTAGATTGGCGTCATTTTTTGCAGAGCATAATGTTGCATTTGTCGTTGCTGACCACTTAATTCAAGTAATGAAAAATAGTTTTAAAGATTCAGACATTGCTAAGAATGTTACATTAAATATTACTAAATGCACTAACATTATTAAAAAATATACTTAGTACTGTAGAGACTGATGAAACTATTAGTAATTTAAAAGTTTGCAAATTTTCAATTTTGGTAGATGAAAGTACTAATATTACTGATACTAAATTTATGTGTAGGTACATTAGTTCGTTATGTCTCCCCTATTAGCGGCCTTATCAGAACAGAACTTCTTGAATTGATATCATTAGACGCAAGGAATTGTTCTGCTGTACATGTTTATGATGCATTCAAGAATTGCCTGATCTCAAAAAATATATCCTTATTCAATATTGTCGGACTAGCATCAGATGGTGCCAATGTTATGGTAGGCCGAATAAATTCTTTTTATTCCCACTTAAAAAATGATGTCCCTTCTGTAATATTGATGTAGTGTATATGTCACTCATCAGCATTAATTGCTGGGAAAGCTTGTGAAAAACTCCCTAGAGGTCCAGAAGATTTGCTTAGAAATATTTCCTCACATTGTTCAGGAAGCGCTAAACGTTGCGCTTAATTATGTGAAATGCAAGATTTTTTCCATGTACAAAGAAAAAAAATTTTAAAACTGGCTTCTACACGGTGGCTAAGTATGCACCGATGTGCATACCATCTGTAGCTCGTGTGTTAGAAAATTGGACAGTTTTGATGCATTATTTTTGAATTGCTGTTGTTGAAGACAAACTGCACATGGTGGAGACTATTCTCAAAGCTATGGAAAACCATTTTACAAAAGCTTATTTGTTATTTTTGAAATATGTGTTGAATATTATGAATTCGTTTAATGCCTTATTCCAAAGCAAAACTGTTTTAATTCATAAGATAACTGAAGCTTCAGAAAATATTTTAAAAGACTTTTGCAGCAATTTTATAAAATTAGAAGTTCTTAGTAATAGTGATATAAAGAATATTGATGTTGCAGATCCAAATAATTATTTACCAAGTAAAAGTATAAACTTGGGTATAGATTCTAATGAATATATTAGACATTTTTCTCCTGTAAACTATGAACAAGTTAAAAACTTGTGCTTAAAGTTTTATATTACTGCTGCATTAGAAATAAAAAAGAGATTACCTATCAACAATATTATATTTCAGCAGCTCAGATTTCTTGATCCAAAGTTGGCACCATATGGTAATTCTTAAAATAATTTGGACATTGATTTTAAAATATTACCTGATAAACTAAATGATTTAAATCTTATTGAAACTGAGTGGAGATGATTGAAAATTTTAATAAATAATAATGATAAGACAAAATTATCATCATTACCTATTGATGAATTTTGGCATACAATATCTAAACTCAAAGATTATTCTGATACATATATCAATGTAAAATGGCTAGATATTAATAATAACACGCTTGTAGTTTCAGAGGTGAGTTTATGCTTAAAAGCTGCTATTAAAAATGTTTATTTTGCTTAGTATAATTTTTCTTCTGCTTTGAACAATTTATAGGTGTGTCATTCTCAAAGGTTGAATGATACCAAACTAATACCATGGCTTATTTTAAAAAAATCTGGAGATGTGTTAGCTGCTCATTGTACTTGCATGGCTGGTATAGAAGAATGTTGTTCGCATGTTGGCGCTGTGCTATTTTTTCTTCGGTACATTAGCTTGAAAGGATTCGTCATGACATAATAAATTTTTTTGGTGGCAATTTAACATAGCAAATTGTATGTTACATGAATTGTTGTACACATAGTTGTCAATCATAGAGTTCAATCAAGAGCACTTTTACAATCATTGTCTGCTATATTATGACGTAGCACTTGAAGATACGAAGTACTGTTTACTCCATAATTCACATTGTTCAATGTGTGTTCTGCCATCTGGTGCTCCGCTCCGCAAATCGAAAATATCCCCCGACTTGCTATGCAACACCACCTCAAGTAGGTCACAGGGTACATACTACATAACTACATAAGTTTCAAAAAAAAAAATGCAAAAAAAAGGTATACCGAATACGTAAGTAATAAAAAATAACTTAAATGGTCATCCGCGCGTCATTATAATAGTGTTGCGTAAAATCGAAAACTTTGTAAGGCCATAACTTCGAAACTAAATGAGAGCGACAAATTCTGATTGCACCATCGTGCATATACTAATACCATATTAGTAGAGGGACATACATCAAGATGTTGATGAAATAACTAATGAAAGGGCATTAAGTCCTAGAAAATTGGATTTTATAATATAAATGTTGTTTAATATGCTTAAAAATAAATAATTAACATTAAAAAGGATTTATGTTAATTCATTGTAATAAATTGAATTTCTATACAAAAATATAAAATATGGTAAATTTATTTAATAAAGAGTAATTGGGTTGTGTGGGGGGCAAAGCCCCCCACGGATCTGTATTATGAAAATTGTCTGGACCCTCACCATGACAAACTCCTAAATACGCCACTGCTGTTCGCCGAGAGAAATCGCCGAGGCCCGACGAAAGTCGGTCCGTTTTGCTCATCCCCTCGCGTCACCCGCTTAAAGCTGCCGTTGGCGGGATGTGACTGCCGACAGGAGTCGCTAGCATCGGCCGCAGTTAACATCGGCGAGCGCCGAGCAGGCAACCGTCGGTCTGCATGCGCAGAACGGGCGTGTTCACTCGGCGAACGGAATATAGTTGTACTGTACATCAGTGTTCTAATACATTTTATTTCTTCTTACTTATATTTTGTATATCTATTTTTTTTTTTTTTTTGATGTGTTATCAAAAATAATAAAAGCCACACCTGAAACAGGAGACTTGTGCACGCCTATGATTCAGTATTTCAATTGCATCTAATAAATATACAATTTCATGTTTTAAAAATAAAACTAATTAGTTACAAAAAAACTATGATAATATTCATGTCTACCAGAAATGATATTGTTTGATAATGTATTGTTTATAGAAACGAATGCCTTTGTCTCCAAAATCACGATCCGGATTCATTCTTATAATATGGATATAATAATAAAATACATAATATGATTAATATTTATAACATATAATAGGTACTTTACTACTTTCTAAGATAAAAATGTTGACTCCCATTGGTTTTATAATTATGTTAATTTTTAGGACTAAGTGACAAATTTTTATTCATTAATAAGCTATACCGTCAATCTGGGTGACTTGGAACGATTTTGACCTTTAACTACTGTAACACATTTATTATTGATAGTTAAATTCTGTAAAAAATCATGCAGTGTAGCACACCTCCAAGGAATATATTGAATTAAAAAAAATTAAGTTCTTAAGTAAACTAAGGTAAAAAAAAATAAAAAGTCCTTTGCATTTAATTTTTTGTGGGAGGTCACTTCGAACGCTACAATAATTTTTTTTAAGTTGTTTTTATAAAATAATACTTTTTCTTATAAGTTGCAGTCTTTGCTCCCAAAATAAATTAAACCAACATATCTACAAAATTAAACTTTGTATATAACAAAAAATAATACAGTTTAAACTGATTTATAAAATAATAGATAGCACATAAATATTTATTTTTAAACTATACAGTTTAATATAATATATAACAAAAAACAATAGGTATAAATAGGTGGGCTTTGGGGGCAGAGCCCTTAAAAAATGTCCATAGCCCCCCCCCCCAAACATTTAATACAATTTGTTTTAAGCTTATTCACTTTTATCAAAGTAAAGTTTTTTGTTAGCCTCCCCCAACTCCGAAAAAAAATCCCAAACTCTATTTGCAGCTATTGGTATAACAGTAGCCAAAAAAAAATTTTCGTCTTTAAAACTTAACAATTTAAATATTTATAGTAAATAAGGATTTAATTTTTATTCAAACTGATAATTGCATCTTCTTTCTTAACGACTTGATTTGTAATAACATTATATGCTTCATCTATTATAAAAGGAAAAGAAAAATATCCTCTCAAATTTTGACTCTTACTGTAATGTTTTTCACTCATTTCATATTTTAAGTTGGAACAATTGATATAAAAAGTGTCCTGTACACAAATATACAAACGAAAACAAAATAATTTAAAAAAGTATTTGTGAAATGGAATTCATAATTTATAAATATTGCTCAAATATAAGTTACAACGTACTTTATAATAATCAATCAGAAAAGAAGATTGTTGAAAATTTAATTCAAATAATTCATCAACTATTTTTAAACTCTCCTTTGAAAATCGGGTACTCAAACCTATAATTTCATCTAATATTGGATAAAATCTTCATAATATTTTTTCTTTGTTTAATCATCTTCGTTCAATGAGTTTTCAGCTGCAGTTGTGACAGTAACGTGGTAGTCTTTGAGTGTTTTTAATTGTTGAAAAAGAAAATTTGTATAAGTAATTTCTGTGAGAGTTACTTACCATGTATGGGAATATTGATAGAAATATCATTATTCTATGCAAAATAAATAATTTTTTCCCATAATTCTGAAAATATTCAGGACTACAGTTTTTTTTTTAGATTTCCCTTAACTCCATTTATTGTTTATGTTGAACTTCCCATGTTGCCAGTTTTGTTTGTAATTGTATACTCAGTATATTTATTATTTTCAGGACATCGTGAAGAATAAACAAATATATAACAAATTAAAACATTTTGATAGTTGCCAAAATGCCAGAGATAAATATAATTTTTGTTATAAATACAAAATGTGTAATGTGTAAACGTCTAAAATATTATTAACGTGTGGAGCGTCGACTAGGTGATGTGAGACGGTCGTGCCGTTCCGTTTACTTTGCTTATGATTATATTTAATACTGTCTTGTACTCTTGTGGATGTTTATTGATTGTTTATCTTTGTTAAATGTCAGTTCGTTGCTGATGACTTCACGCTTACCCGGAGTGGTACAAATGGGAATTAAATCAACAACAAAATTGTTATACATCAAGGAAAATTAAAAAATTTCTAAATAAAATTCTGGTGGTTGAACACCATAATATTACACTATTCTCTGTTTGCCGAGAGAAAACGTAGCAGCCCGACGAAAATCGGTTCGTTCTGCGCATCCCTTCGCGTCACCCACCCATAGCGTCCGGCGACAGGAGTCTCTAGCATCGGCGTCGGGCGCATATTGTCGTCTCGACGATCTTTCATCTTGGAGGGGGAAATTGAGCCTCGGCGAGCAAGAAACCGTCAGTCGGCAGTTTGCATAATGTACAGTGTCTGCGTGTTCTCTCGGCGAATAGAGTATACATAATTCATTATCATGTTAGTACAAAATTATAATTTAATACAAATTAGACTCCGGATAATTTAAAAACAAACAACAGCTCAACAATGCAAGCCTTAGTTGGTTATGAAAAATGTACTCTTCATAACATATTACCTACACTACACATAACTGATATCATCCATGTATGTTTGATATTTGAGTGCCTTACAAGAGCACTTTTACAATCATTGTCTGCTATATTATGACGTAGCACTTGAAGATACGAAGTACTGTTTACTCCATAAGTCACATTGTTCAATGTGTGTTCTGCCATCTGGTGTTGTGGAGAATCTCTCCAGAGTATATGCTGATAACCACGGTGTTTTTCAAGCACTAAATTCTGGGGATACATTTTGCAAATATCCGTAGTAAAAGGCAACGCAAAAGACCCCGATTCCAGTCGGAACGTTCACTACGTCCTACTGTAATGTTGGGCCAACATATAGTCCGTTCAAAATAAGAAACGTAGACGGCGGCCGACTTCTGCGCATGGTCGTGGCCTCGCTACGCCTATCGAGCTTTGACACCGTCGCCTCATTCTATTGTTGACCAGTGACGCAAACAAATAACTTAAAATGCATTGAACCGGTGCCGGCGCTGCGTTGGGCTGTATTCACCGTAGCATACAACCTTTTTTTTATTATTATAAAACCATTTTTTTAAACTAAATTTTTTTTCGAGTTATTACCAGGTATATTACGTAAAAACATAAAATATAAAAACAAATTTAAACATTATAATTATTTATTACAATACATAAAAAGATAAACAGAAATTTTAAAAAAGTCAGTAGGTAATAAAAAAAAATATAAAAAATTAAAAAAAAAAATTACTCATAATCAGAATCAGTTTCTCCCGTTATTGTTAAAACACAATGTTCCATTTGATCAATTAATTACTTCGTCCATGATATCGTCGACTTTCCAAATTTTCTCTTCTTCTCCGATGACATTTTGCCAATTTTCTGATGTCACCCTTTCAATTGCAATTGCAATTGCAAATACAACCTCTCTAATGTCCCTGTTTTTTCCCGTGATTTTTATCTTCGTCGTGAGTGTGCATTCGGCTAAAATAAAAATAAATAAAATAAAATAAATACTCAACTCTTAAGAGGACACTACCCATGCATTTGTTGTATTCGTTTTACACACTTATGACATACCAAATACACGGTCAAATATTTTTACTTGTTTTGAGCTGTTTACGGACATTTTCAGTTTCCAATTTTTTTAGTTTTTTTTCTTTTAATATAAATGAAATTTTATTTGTTTGCTACAAAGCTTGGAAATTTAATAGAAGGCTAATTATATATTGTTTCAAAGGTAGATGAAAAATATTAAAAATCACATTTACCACTAAAAGTTAAAAATTAAATTAAATTAAATTATATTATGAAACTGTTATAAATTCCTGAAATTTTAAAATAAAAAACATGGCATTTAGAAATTTACTCATTAAATTAAGTTACATTATAAATGTTATACCTTTATGAGTTGTTTCATTGTCATCAGAACTTTGCGAACGTTGTCCATCTTAATGTTGTGTTTTCGCGTTTTGCGTAACCTTTTACCATAGCCCATGCCAATTCAATTGGATTAAATTCGCAATGATAGGGCGGTAATAGGAGTACGGTGTGTCCTGCTTCTTCTGCAATTTTATCGATGATAAGATTTATTACGTGATATTTCGCGTACTTTGGCCATCAGTTCATGCTTCAAAAATGGTCTGTCAAGAACAACACCTTTTGATTGAAGCCACTCCGATGATTGGGCTTTATTCCAGGCATGTCCTTTGATTTACACCATACCCAGTATGGTATATTACAGTTGTTCAATTGTGTTTTTAAAATTTTTATGGTAGGTGTATCCAGGATCAACAAATCAGGCTCATATTTATTTTCTGCTTTGACGTCAAACATTATTACTCTATGTATAAAAAAAACTTGGTAAAATATATGCTATTGGAAATGATATAGAAGATTATTATTAATAAATCTTACTCTTTGGAACATATCTATTGGTATGATTGAAATGTAATTGAATTTAATTTATTATAAGTAAGAGTATACATTTTTGATTTTATTGATTTTTTTATAAGCAGGCAGGCTATCAATATAGGCTTTTGCAAACAAATCTGAATTCTCATGTACAAAAATTGCCAGTGAGCCAAAGGATTCGTCATGACATAATACATTTTTTGGTGGCAATTTAACATAGCAGATTGTATGTTACATGAATTGTTGTACACATAGTTGTCAATCATAGAGTTTTCGAAGAAGACACCAAAACTAGCAAGCGAAATTTTTAACAATGCAACATCAATACTATTAAATTTCTTTTTTAAATATATAATACATGCCGCAATGATCTCAGTTATATCTTCAAAAAAAAATATAAAAAAAGAAACAAATATTATTATTAATTATAATTATAATTATTTATATTATGGTAGCTGTAACCCTTGTTTGGGCACTCATCACTGGGTGTAGATTCTGCAAAAAAAGATGACTTACTTATGATTTGATAAATGACTTACTCTATACTACCAAGTAGCTTTAAGTCCCCTGGTAAGCGAATTGGACCTGTAGTTGTGGCTAAACCAGCATTTCACAGGATTACAGGGTAAACTGTACTTTGAATCGCCAAAAACGGTGTTAAATATTAATTTCCCCTTATAATGTAATTTGGATAAATTGTTAAGCATACCTGATACTATAGTATTCCAGTTTCGGAACCAAAAAAATCAAACTTTAAATGCTGAACACTTTCCGGTGCCTTCTGAACCATTGCCACTCAGAACCATAGGTTTTAACCAAGGCACCGGAACGTGTTCAGCATTTAAAGTTCGATTTTTTTGGTTCTGAAACTGGAGAACTATAGTATCAGATATGCTTAACAATTTATCCAGATGACATTATAAGGGGAAATTAATATTTAACACCGTGTTTGGAGATCCAAAGTACATTATATTGTCATTAAGTAAATTTCTCAAAATCAATTCCATTCCAGTAGTATTTTGGAATTCAATACAATCATTATTTATACCTGTGTCTATCTCCTGATTAATTTCTGTTTTCATTACTCTTTGTATAAAAAAAAAAATTAAATATTACTTATTATGTATAGTAAATAATATTGATTAATATGATTTTTAAATATACATCTTACTTTGTGTCACACATCTTTGTATACGATTGAAATGTTACAGAATTTAATTTATTATAAATAGTAGTGTACATTTTTGCTTTGATTTTTTTGCTTTTTTTTTGGTATGCAGGTGTACTATCCACATACATCTTTGCTGCACTGTATAAATTTGCACTTTTGCTGATGCACTCAACTAGTGCAGCAAATTGACTATCATGACATAGCAAATTACTCTCAGTATGGATTGAAATCCAATTTTGTATGGCAGCATGGTCATTAAAAATATAATCGGACAATGGTATGGGATCGATAAATTTACCATAACTATTCATTGTTAAATTTATCACATTTATATCTATAAATTAAAATTTTTTTTCAAAAAAATCAAACATGAAGCGATGTCACGCGAAATTTCTTTAAAAGAATATAAAAAAATTTCAAAAATTTTAAAATTTTAAAATTCCAAGGGTGGATCCAGGGGGGGCACTGGTGGCAGGTGACTCCACTTTGGAATAAAAAATATTTCCGGAAAAATATTTGGACTTTGTATGAATGGGGACGATAATATGCAGGGACGACGACCTCTTAACAATAACTATTTACTACTCTATTATTACAACTACTACTCTAAAAAACAATAAATTGCTAAAAGTACAATATTTTTTGTAAATATACAATATAACTCACTTTATTCCGGTTTGATGAATCCACGGAACTGGTGATACCCAACATTTCAACGATATGTCGTTTCGGTGCTCCGATTTATTTATATTTGTAGGAATTAACTTTTTGCCGTAATACCTTGTCCACGAACACTCCAACTGTGATTTTAATATATGATTAAGCTGTTTATACCGATACAAATAATGTTCAATTGATTTTCCCCTTGGTGCCTGATTATTATTGACTCGTTGTGTGGCGTTTTGGTGTCTCACTTTGGAACGCACACGCTCAGCAGCCAACGCTTCTGCGCGCTTCGCTTCCGCGTCGAAGAGCGGCTCCATCGAACGACGTTCACTGTCATATTGGAGACGCACCTTGCGCCTTGCCTCGCGAATGGCTCCACGAATACGTCGTTCATTGAACGATGTGCGCATGTACAAATCGAACCGTTTACGCATACGTCGATCCCAGTAGTCTCCGCCGCGGCCATTAATAAAAACGTCCAGTCTGCTAGTTTTTGATTTACTCGAAGCTTCACTCGAGGATTCACTAGATGTCTCAGTAAAAGACGTAAAACCCGTTATACGTGGGCGATTGCATGCTACCCCGATGGGTCCGCTGTCGGCGCTATCCGTGCCGAAGTCACTATTATCGGGTGAACTCGAGTGAAATGAACTGTTTTCATCCGTATCAAAAGTCAAGGCCCATCCGGGCCAATTGTATAATCCTGTGGATCGGTCGATTAAAAGTTTCGGAACTTTAAGATCACATAAACCATGGCATAGGCCTCGGTCACCAATCAATGCATTCACTGATACCCTTGTAGAAATTCAAATTTTTAGTTCACCTATATTTTTCAAAGAAATAATTTGCGAACTATAATATTAATAGAATCGTACATTAACTAGTCCCAAAAAGTGTCAGGCTATATTATGTGCATTTTCGTGTCCACACTACCCTTGAGGTGTTACGTCGATCCCAGTAGTCTCCGCCGCGGCCATTAATAAAAACGTCCAGTCTGCTAGTTTTTGATTTACTCGAAGCTTCACTCGAGGATTCACTAGATGTCTCAGTTTAAAGACGTAAAACCCGTTATACGTGGGCGATTGCATGCTACCCCGATGGGTCCGCTGTCGGCGCTATCCGTGCCGAAGTCACTATTATCGGGTGAACTCGAGTGAAATGAACTGTTTTCATCCGTATCAAAAGTCAAGGCCCATCCGGGCCAATTGTATAATCCTGTGGATCGGTCGATTAAAAGTTTCGGAACTTTAAGATCACATAAACCATGGCATAGGCCTCGGTCACCAATCAATGCATTCACTGATACCCTTGTAGAAATACATTTTTTGTTAAGGTCATTTTCAATTGGACGTCCTTGCATTTGGCGTCCAGTCAAGACCATCACTCTTATCATCTTCATCCAGGCGTCACAGTTAAGTAGGTACCTAAGTTACCTAGTACTACTAGGCTAGTAGGTACCTAAGGTAATTAATATTACACACCTATTATTTTTCAAAGGAAATAATTTTGCAGAACTATAATATATAATATAATACGTACATTTTACTATGTCCCAAAAAAGTTTCAGGTCGAGCCTAGGCTTGACCGGCTCGCCCCGTGCAATCAGCATCAGGTAGCATAAACCTAAGTGCTATATTATGTGCATTTTTCGTGTAATCGTCCACACTACCCTTGAGGTGTTACACATAAGTGCGTTTTTTTTTAAGTGGTTTTCGCCTGTAGCCCTATTCCACTGTTTTACCCTACCTAGTTTAAAGTTTTTTAGTTTAAACCACATGTGTGTGGAGAAACCATACAACATTCATGCCGCAATTGGACATTTTTTTTTTTTTTTTATTAGTTTTTACAATTCTTGTACATACCTAGACGAGCGTATAAACGAATGCAATTAACCATGGAAAAATTGGCCATATTTATTGTTGCTACTCTTGTGCCAAAAAATGTGGAAAAAATCCAATAAATGTCCCATATATAAAACAAATACATACCTGTATAATTTGCCATGCATCACAGTACTTATAATTCATCATTACATTAAATAAAATATAAAAACAAAAAAACGCAATCAGACTTCAGCACAATTCCCATGAAAAAAAGGAATAAAATCATCCGAAAATATTTCGTGTTACCATTTGAGTGAAACACACTGTATTATGATGTATGAGGTACATATAAAATGCCGATAAAGATACGCACCTAGCATACAAATATAGATAAACCTAATAAATTATAGTTTATTGCTAACGATTAGCTAGTTAGATATAGTTATTTGGTAAAAACACACCTTTGTATACGATTGAAATGTTACAGAATTTAATTTATTATAAATAGTAGTGTACATTTTTGCTTTGATTTTTTTGCTTTTTTTTGGTATGCAGGTGTACTATCCACATACATCTTTGCTGCACTGTATAAATTTGCACTTTTGCTGATGCACTCAACTAGTGCAGCAAATTGACTATCATGACATAGCAAATTACTCTCAGTATGGATTGAAATCCAATTTTGTATGGCAGCATGGTCATTAAAAATATAATCGGACAAAAAATAATATAATATAATCGATAAATTTACCAATATTACACACCTATTATTTTTCAAAGGAAATAATTTTGCAGAACTATAATATATAATATAATACGTACATTTTACTATGTCCCAAAAAAGTTTCAGGTCGAGCCTAGGCTTGACCGGCTCGCCCCGTGCAATCAGCATCAGGTAGCATAAACCTAAGTGCTATATTATGTGCATTTTTCGTGTAATCGTCCACACTACCCTTGAGGTGTTTACACATAAGTGCGTTTTTTTTTAAGTGGTTTTCGCTGTAGCCCTATTCCACTGTTTTTACCCTACCTAGTTTAAAGTTTTTAGTTTAAACACATGTGTGGAGAAACCATACAACATTCATGCCGCAATTGGACATTTTTTTTTTTTTTTTATTAGTTTTTACAATTCTTGTACATACCTAGACGAGCGTATAAACGAATGCAATTAACCATGGAAAAATTGGCCATATTTATTGTTGCTACTCTTGTGCCAAAAAATGTGGAAAAAATCCAATAAATGTCCCATATATAAAACAAATACATACCTGTATAATTTGCCATGCATCACAGTACTTATAATTCATCATTACATTAAATAAAATATAAAAACAAAAAAACGCAATCAGACTTCAGCACAATTCCCATGAAAAAAAGGAATAAAATCATCCGAAAATATTTCGTGTTACCATTTGAGTGAAACACACTGTATTATGATGTATGAGGTACATATAAAATGCCGATAAAGATACGCACCTAGCATACAAATATAGATAAACCTAATAAATTATAGTTTATTGCTAACGATTAGCTAGTTAGATATAGTTATTTGGTAAAAACACACCTTTGTATACGATTGAAATGTTACAGAATTTAATTTATTATAAATAGTAGTGTACATTTTTGCTTTGATTTTTTTGCTTTTTTTTTGGTATGCAGGTGTACTATCCACATACATCTTTGCTGCACTGTATAAATTTGCACTTTTGCTGATGCACTCAACTAGTGCAGCAAATTGACTATCATGACATAGCAAATTACTCTCAGTATGGATTGAAATCCAATTTTGTATGGCAGCATGGTCATTAAAAATATAATCGGACAAAAAATAATATAATATAATCGATAAATTTACCATAACTATTCATTGTTAAATTTATCACATTTATATCTATACATTTAAGTTTTGTTTTCAAAAAAATCAAACATGAAGCGATGTCACGTGAAATTTCCTTAAAAAAATATAAAAAAATTTCAAAAATTTTAAAATTCCAAGGGTGGATCCAGGGGGGGGGCACTGGTGGCAGGTGACTCCCCCTTTGGAATAAAAAATATTTCCGGAAAAATATTTGGACTTTGTATGAGTGGGGACGATGATATGCAGGGACGACGACCTCTTAACAATAACTATTTACTACTCTATTACTACAACTACTACTCTAAAAAACAATAAATTGCTAAAAGTACAATATTTTTTGTAAATATACAATATAACTCACTTTATTCCGGTTTGATGAATCCAGGGAACTGGTGATACCCAACATTTCAACGATATATCGTTTCGGTGCTCCGATTTATTTATATTTGTAGGAATTAACTTTTTGCCGTAATACCTTGTCCACGAACACTCCAACTGTGATTTTAATTTGTGATTAAGCTGTTTATACCGATACAAATAATGTTCAATTGATTTTCCCCTTGGTGCGGGATAATTATTGACTCGAAGTGTTTCGTTTTGGTGTCTCACTTTGGAACGCACACGCTCAGCAGCCAACGCTTCTGCGCGCTTCGCTTCCGCGTCGAAGAGCGGCTCCATCGAACGACGTTCACTGTCATATTGGAGACGCACCTTGCGCCTTGCCTCGCGAATGGCTCCACGAATACGTCGTTCATTGAACGATGTGCGCATGTACAAATCGAACCGTTTACGCATACGTCGATCCCAGTAGTCTCCGCCGCGGCCATTAATAAAAACGTCCAGTCTGCTAGTTTTTGATTTACTCGAAGCTTCACTCGAGGATTCACTAGATGTCTCAGTAAAAGACGTAAAACCCGTTATACGTGGGCGATTGCATGCTACCCCGATGGGTCCGCTGTCGGCGCTATCCGTGCCGAAGTCACTATTATCGGGTGAACTCGAGTGAAATGAACTGTTTTCATCCGTATCAAAAGTCAAGGCCCATCCGGGCCAATTGTATAATCCTGTGGATCGGTCGATTAAAAGTTTCGGAACTTTAAGATCACATAAACCATGGCATAGGCCTCGGTCACCAATCAATGCATTCACTGATACCCTTGTAGAAATACATTTTTTGTTAAGGTCATTTTCAATTGGACGTCCTTGCATTTGGCGTCCAGTCAAGACCATCACTCTTATCATCTTCATCCAGGCGTCACAGTTAAGTAGGTACCTAAGTTACCTAGTACTACTAGGCTAGTAGGTACCTAAGGTAATTAATATTACACACCTATTATTTTTCAAAGGAAATAATTTTGCAGAACTATAATATATAATATAATACGTACATTTTACTATGTCCCAAAAAAGTTTCAGGTCGAGCCTAGGCTTGACCGGCTCGCCCCGTGCAATCAGCATCAGGTAGCATAAACCTAAGTGCTATATTATGTGCATTTTTCGTGTAATCGTCCACACTACCCTTGAGGTGTTACACATAAGTGCGTTTTTTTTTTAAGTGGTTTTCGCCTGTAGCCCTATTCCACTGTTTTACCCTACCTAGTTTAAAGTTTTTTAGTTTAAACCACATGTGTGTGGAGAAACCATACAACATTCATGCCGCAATTGGACATTTTTTTTTTTTTTTTTATTAGTTTTTACAATTCTTGTACATACCTAGACGAGCGTATAAACGAATGCAATTAACCATGGAAAAATTGGCCATATTTATTGTTGCTACTCTTGTGCCAAAAAATGTGGAAAAAATCCAATAAATGTCCCATATATAAAACAAATACATACCTGTATAATTTGCCATGCATCACAGTACTTATAATTCATCATTACATTAAATAAAATATAAAAACAAAAAAACGCAATCAGACTTCAGCACAATTCCCATGAAAAAAAGGAATAAAATCATCCGAAAATATTTCGTGTTACCATTTGAGTGAAACACACTGTATTATGATGTATGAGGTACATATAAAATGCCGATAAAGATACGCACCTAGCATACAAATATAGATAAACCTAATAAATTATAGTTTATTGCTAACGATTAGCTAGTTAGATATAGTTATTTGGTAAAAACACACCTTTGTATACGATTGAAATGTTACAGAATTTAATTTATTATAAATAGTAGTGTACATTTTTGCTTTGATTTTTTTGCTTTTTTTTTGGTATGCAGGTGTACTATCCACATACATCTTTGCTGCACTGTATAAATTTGCACTTTTGCTGATGCACTCAACTAGTGCAGCAAATTGACTATCATGACATAGCAAATTACTCTCAGTATGGATTGAAATCCAATTTTGTATGGCAGCATGGTCATTAAAAATATAATCGGACAAAAAATAATATAATATAATCGATAAATTTACCATAACTATTCATTGTTAAATTTATCACATTTATATCTATACATTTAAGTTTTGTTTTCAAAAAAATCAAACATGAAGCGATGTCACGTGAAATTTCCTTAAAAAAATATAAAAAAATTTCAAAAATTTTAAAATTCCAAGGGTGGATCCAGGGGGGGGGCACTGGTGGCAGGTGACTCCCCCTTTGGAATAAAAAATATTTCCGGAAAAATATTTGGACTTTGTATGAGTGGGGACGATGATATGCAGGGACGACGACCTCTTAACAATAACTATTTACTACTCT